GGGGGGGGGCAATGCCCGAAAAAATGGATTGCCCCCCTTAAAATGTTCGGACAACCAACAATTTCATTACTGTAACTAAACATCATACACCATTGCCCTTCTGGTTATATAACTTGGTCTTCCGAACTATCAAGTCAATCTGAATCTTGTGCTTGACTATATTCGCCATATTACGAAATTATCATTCAACAAATAAAATCTTCATTTCATTTACTGTATTACATGAATCCATAGAAAAAAGATGGACTTGTATTACTTGTCGAATATTTACGAGATGAATTCTGACTTGATTTTGAAATATAACTACATGTAGTCGATATTTCGACAGATTCTGGCAGAATTCCAAAACCTTTAGATCCTGTCTTATCATCTATTGGTAGATGTGGGCCACGCCCTAAATAAAAAGAATGCAATAGCTGCAGAGAACTTTGGTTTGGCACAATGACAGTCTTTCTGTGGTAAAAATGGCATACTACATGTTTTGTCGTAATTTATTTAGAATATTCACCATTATCGATTCTTAGAATGTATTTGCTATATACGTAATAATAGTTGAGGCAGAATAAAAGTCTTTCACGAACCGTCATTACGACGCATTTAGATATATTGGCAAACTGTGTTGATTTTGTATATCTATCGTATGACTTAGTATATTTCAGATCATTTTCTGACAAAAATTTAGGACGAAAATTGCAGAAGAAGAGGCCTATATGTGGATAACATGAGATTATAGGCCTAAGGATTAGAACGAGGTAAATAAAGTTTCGGTCACCATGTTTCCTTGTGGAAAGCATGTATCGGCTATTTGAAACAGAATACCAATTGTAAATAATATTCATGTGATTATTTTCATTCAATTAGCTACTAAATAGGTTATCTCTTTCAACTTCAACCTAAGGATATCAATAATGGCTAAATTTGAAAATCTGAAAATGTTGTCAAATAGTCCAGAACATGAAAATTTTTCACATATTTGATAATTCTAACTTTCAAGATTCATAATTGTAAGTTGATGATGGCTTTGTGTCTCTAGATACGTCACAGTTGGCTTGTAGATGTTGAAATGACTACAATTTTGATCGTATTCATATTGAAAAATAGGTACTTTTGCATATATTTGTTTGTTCCATTAGATTAATTTTTCATCAAGGTGTTCAATCACTTTGAACCTATTCACACAACTTGAGAAATTGTGACCCTTCATTATTGTGCTTTCATTATTGTACTTTCATTATTGTGCTTTCAATGTGGGATTATTGCCATTATTATTATAATTACATTATTTATAATATTAGTTTATATATTAATGTTACATTTTATGTTATATTTCAGTAAGGGAACACGAAGATCAAATTTTAAGAAATATACAAGATGAAAACCAATCCTGTAATATCCCTATTCTTATTGCTAATTTCATTATCCATAGTAAACAGTGCTGATAAGATTGATTATTACAACTTACATAGTTTTTTATTTACCGGATATAATTCGGATATTCGACCAGTAAATGATGATAAAGAAATAATGCCTATTATTATAAACTTCTCTCTTATTTCAATTAGTGAGTTACAAGAAAAAGATCAAACATTGGTGAGTTTTGGGTTAATTCATCTTTATTGGCAAGACGACTTTTTGTCTTGGAACCAATCGGAATATGGTGATTTACAGAATATGGTGGTTCCCCAGAAAAAGGTTTGGAGACCAGATATTGTCGTCGCTAACTCAGTAGAAAAAAGAACAAAAATTGGATTTGATGAACTACCGATTCGTTTAAATTCAGATGGATATTTGGAATGGGAGCCCAGTATGTTGTTTAAAACATCTTGTGATATAGATACAACGTATTATCCATTTGATGTACAAGTTTGTAAAATTAGCCTAGAAACAATGGTGTCTAAAATATACGAATTGGACCTCATTATAAATGATCCTGAAATAGATACAGTAGATTACAGCCCGAATGGACAATGGAATTTGCTAGTGCTAAAATTGTAAAAAGAGACAACACAGTTCATTCAGCGGTTCATATTGAACTAAGGATCCAGAGGAGACGAACATTTTATGTGTTAAATTTAATATTACCAATACTACTTCTGTCTCTGATGGGATCTCTTACATTTGCTTTACCAAGTGATGCGGGTGAAAAAATGTCCCTTTCTATTACTGTGCTATTAGCTTATGTTGTCTTTTTGACGATTATCAGTGATAGTATGCCTCAAACCTCCTTACAAATATCTTTGCTAGGTGTATATGTAACTATTTTGTTGGCTCTTAGTACTCTATCTGTTTTGTTGGCCATTCCAATATTGAGACTACATCATACGAAATCTACCCAACCCGTGCCACGTCTTGCGGTTTGGTTTGTTCGAAGTTGTGGTAAATGTCGTAAAAGAAAAATCTTTGATGAGGCAGAAGTGTCCCACAATCCTAAATCAAAGATTGTTAAAGATTTCAATGAAGAAAAGGTTACATGGGAACAATTGTCCCAAACTATGGATTCTTTCTTTTGTAAATTATTTTTTATTTTGACCTTCATATCAACGGTCATATTTATAGCTGTTATGTTAATATAATTCTGTAACCAATCATTACATTTGACCTGATTGAAAAGAATTGGTGTATTTTTTACATGATAATTAAGTGTGCTTTCTCTCGCTGTTTTTCCTTTTTGATATAAAATCTGGAATCTTTTTTGAATTTATAAACTTTCTTTTGCATTAAACTTATATACGTCTCAGCACTGTTTGTTATAATCCCTTAGTGATCTTATCTCATTGTTCTGATGAGGAATTGACCAAAAACTTTTTATATGCATGTTGTCAAAGGCAACTTTGACTCCAAAAGCCATAATAGAATATTCTAGCTCACTGGTCGTCGGCTAAATTGACTATGTTTGTAGATACGAGTTATATCCCTTTGCCAGAAAAAGCCTCTGTCATAGAATGTTTTGGATTTTTCTGCGAACGACAAAAAACATTATCACAGTTGTTTTCGAGTGATTCATTTTGTCTTACATTTTGTTTTGAGAACTAAATAAAGTATAATATTGCCTTCATTGGCCTACTTAATTGTTTTCTAAATAGAAAGTACATATATTTCTAGAAATTACAGTTTGAGTGAATCTACTACTGTACAAATATTATGTGCTCTGCTGACATACTTGATGTCGAAAAGGATTGCCTCCCTTTAAACACCTATATTTCACTGTAGAATTCTGACAAGTTTAATCATTAATTTGCCCGTAACGTAACATTCTATAGTTCTATAGGCTTCAATGTTTTGTTAGTTTCTTCTTAGTAAGCGGATTTCCAACCAGACAAGAATTATTTATATGATTCTAATTTTCTAATAAGAGAAAAAACGGAAACCAAATTTCAACCATTGTTTCCATTCATATCTTCACTGAATTTAACTCGAAACATTTTGAAAGTTGTCGGCTGGTGGAGGGACACAAAAAACTAGGCTTTGTTTTGTGGAAATACCCCTACACCATTTATGTCACTTCATCGGTTCCATCAAAGTATTTTTTACGAAACTGATATCTGAGATATCATATCTCGTCGGCCATTTAAACTGTGCGCGTAACCAAAAGAGTCATGTGATACTAACAATAATGGGAATACGAAGGAATACAGGGAAGTTTTTTTTTTTTTTTTTTGGCAATTTTGAATTTTTGAACTATGGTCATTGATAGTCCCATATCAATACACTCACAATTACAACATGTACAGGTAAGAAGGAACTTCAACTATGTTCTATACCTCAAATAAACATAAATGATCAAACCTGCACCCAGTTACAATTGATATGAAATAAGCAAATAATTTTGATTCATTTTAGCAATTTTGTTAATTTTTAAATTACAAAATCTACAGGTTTTATTTTTTTGACTTCCTAGGTCAAACTAAAAGTTTTTAATTTTGTGATTTTATTCATCATCATTCATCACGAACTTCGTCTGATACCTTGACTGCAATAACCACCTTTCTTGTAATGCGGAATGCAGCGATTTGATTGGATCGCTGTATTTACATACTTCCATGACACGCGAAAAGTTGTAGTCAAGGTATAGTATATAGGTAAACAATGTTGGTTTTATAAAAATATCGTGACTTAAATATAAATATATTTCAGGTCATTTTTTGTGTTTAGGGCGATAATCGGATTGGAATATGCCTTTTATGTGGATTATATTAGATAATAAGGTTTATTAAAACTAGGTATATAAAATTTTAGTCACCATGTCTCCATATTCTGACCTTGTGGCAAGCATGTATCGACTGTAAATAATATCCATATGATTATTTTCATTCAGTTAGCTACTAATCAGGTAATTTCTTTCAAATTTAATATCAATAATGGCTCAATTTGAAAATGTTGTTAAATAGTTTAAGGAATACTGCCTCTTAGAATGGATATACAATACAAGTCTCAAACTTGGTAAACAAGCGTATATCTTCATCAGCTGGACCTACCAGGTAACATGACAAAAGTATAGAAATATCCATCAAAATCAAAATAATAATTGGAATTTCTAGGCATGTTTTAAAATTACTTATTTTAACAAGTTTTTATTGGATTATTGGATTTTGTTGTAGAGTTTTGAAACCAGGTAAGTCTACTGATGAACAAAGACTCCTTTTGGCCAAGTTTTAACATTTCTAATTTTTCGACATCCCCAAGAGGTAAAATACCTTTAAGAACAATTTAACTGCATCTTGACATGAAAATGGCCACATCTTTGATGTCCGACTTTTATGATACAGAATTGTAATATGATTGGTTTGCGTCAGTAGATACGTTACAGTTGGCCCCTGGACGTTGTAAAAACTACAGTTTTGATCGTAATCCTATAGAACAATAGATGATTTTGCGTATATTTTTTCCTGATATTGTCGTCGCCTCCGTCGGTCAACATTTCTCGTGAGCACAGTAGAGACTACAGTATTTATCTGATTTGAATGAGTTAATGCCCTTGACATTGTCAAAACGCGTAAATATTTTTCGATAAGCAGTTTTTGAGTTATTGCACTCGATGGGGAAAAAACGCGTTTATAGACTACAGTCTTTATCTGATTTTAATGAAATATGGTGTGCTCATATGTATTGATAATATCTTGGTGAAGTCCAAATTAATCGATCTTTCGATGAACAGTTTTTGAGTTATTGCCCTTGACTCATGAAAAATGTGGAAAAATTTATTCATGAGCTCAAGAGAGACTACAGTTTTCATCTGATTTTTATGAATTTGGTGTGATGATTTATATAAAATGAAATGAATGGAGTTTTACGTCCTATTTATCTATATTGATCAGATCTTGGTCAAGATTGAATTTTGACATTTTCGTGCTTAACAATTTTGAGTTATTGCCCTTGACATTCAAAGCAGTGTGATTAAATAATTTGATGTATTTGGGTTATTGATATTGATTTTAAAAAATAATGTGGAAAACCTAACAGTAAATACATTAAAGAGTGTATATTCATTTCTGTAAGCTGCCAGTGGGCATATGTTACTTTACCTGGCAAGTTATTTTTCATCAATTTATTACTGAATAATGCATCATTTGAACCTGTTCGCACAACGTTATCAATTGTGACACTTCATTATTGTGCTTTCATTGTGAGAATATTATTGCCATTATTATTATAATTACATTATTTGTAATATTAGTTTATATATTAATGTTATAATCTATGTTGTATTTCAGATCAAATTAGAAGAAATATACAAGATGAAAACCAATCCTGTAATATCCCTATTCTTATTGCTAATTTCATTATCCATAGTAAACAGTGCTGATAAGACTGATTATTACAACTTACATAGTTTTTTATTTACCGGATATAATTCGGATATCCGACCAGTAAATGATGATAAAGAAATAATGCCTATTGTTATAGACTTCTCTCTTATTTCAATTAGTGAGTTACAAGAAAAAGATCAAACATTGGTGAGTTTTGGGTTAATTCATCTTTATTGGGAAGACGACTTTTTATCTTGGAACGAATCGGAATATGGTGATTTACAGAATATGGTGGTTCCACAAAAAAAAGTTTGGAGACCAGATATTGTTGTCGCTAACTCAGTAGAAAAAAGAACAAAAATTGGATTTGATGAACTGCCTATTCGTTTAAATTCAGAAGGATATTTGGAATGGGAGCCCAGTATGTTGTTTAAAACATCTTGTGATATAGATACAACTTATTATCCATTTGATGTTCAAGTTTGTAAAATTAGCCTAGAAACAATGATGTCTAAAATATACGAATTGGACCTCATTATAAATGATCCTGAAATAGATACAGTAGATTACAGCCCGAATGGACAATGGAATTTGCTTAGTGCTAAAATTGTAAAAAGAGACAAAGCAGTTTATTCAGCGGTTCATATTGAACTAAAGATTCAGAGGAGACGAACATTTTATGTGTTAAATTTAATATTACCAATACTACTTCTGTCTCTGATGGGATCTCTTACATTTGCTTTACCAAGTGATGCTGGTGAAAAAATGTCCCTTTCTATTACTGTGCTATTAGCTTATGTTGTCTTTTTGACGATTATCAGTGATAGTATGCCCCAAACCTCCTTACAAATATCTTTACTAGGTGTATATTTAACTATTTTGGTGGCTCTTAGTGCTCTCGCAGTTTTGTTAGCTGTTCCAATATTGAGACTACATCATACGAAATCTACCCAACCCGTGCCACGTCTTGCGGTTTGGTTTGTTCGAAGTTGTGGTAAATGCTGTAAAAGAAAAATCTCTACAGTCTCTGATGATGCAGAAGTGTCCCACAATCCTAAATCACAGAATTTTGTTAAGGATTTCCGCGAAGAAGAGGTTACATGGGAACAATTGTCCCAAACTATGGATTCTTTCTTTTGTAAATTATTTTTTATTTTGACCTTCATATCAACGGTCATATTTATAACTGTAATGTTAATATAATTCTGTAACCAATCATTACATTTGACCTGATTGAAAAGAATTGGTGTATTTTTTACATGATATGTGTGCTTTCTCTAGCTGATTTTAAAACAGTTGTGTTTTTTAATGTTTTGCATTAAACTTATAGCAGTTTCCACACTGTTATAATTTATATTATGAATTTTTTTTTCTCTTATAAACTTAATGGCTTTATCTCATTGTTTTGCAAGTTGCCTAAGGGAACCTTGAATCTTAAAGGCCTAATCAAATAGTCTAGCTCACTGGTCGTCGGCTGAATGGACTAAGTTTGTAGATACGAGTTATACCCCTTTGCCAGAAAACGCCTCTGTCATAGAATGTTTTGGATTTTTCTACGAACGACAACGAAAATTATCACAGTTGTTTCCGAGTGATTCATTTTGTCTTACATTTTGTTTTGTGAAATAGATAAAGCATAATGGTGCCTTGTGGATTTTGTTTTGATCCGCCGAACCCACATTTATTCTGAAAGATGGATTTTGTTGTAGTTCAGTCATACCATCATAATCCCACTACACCAATAAAATTATGTCACGCCATCGGTTCCATAAAAGTATTTTAACGAAACTGATCTCACGTCGGCCATTTAAAACAACGTGAGCAACCGAAAGTTCAAGGGTCACAGAGTCACGTGAAACTAACAAAACAGCTTTTTCGAAGAAATACATGCAAGATATTCTAAAGGTTTTTTTCTTGGCTAGTCCTATATCAATTACTACACTATAACAACAATTACAACTTTTACAGGTAAGAAGGAACTTCAACTATGTTCTATACCTCAAATAAACATAAATGATCAATCCTGCACCCAGTTACAATTGATATGAAATAAGCAAATAATTTTAATTCTGAGAAATTTGTCATTTAAGTAACATCTATCGTCGCTCTTTGTTGAAGTTCAGCTTCGACGAAACAGGGCCTGGACAGGTTTCTTAATATCATTGAAATTGACCCAAGCTACAGTGGCTATGGAATTTGATTGGTTGTAAATCCACTTTGGCGATGGGAAAAATTAATTGAAATAACTCAGTTATTATGACAATGTCTTCGAATTGTAATTCTTTGCTCGAAAAATCGATAAATAAAACACCCGCGGATAAAATATAAACTGACAAAACTGCTAAATATTTGCGGTTGTTAAATGTTGCTAGGAACTTGAAAGTCGAATATGCTTAATTGTAGTTAACTCCCTTGACGGAATTTGAAACCGTCCTAACACAAATTTCAATGACCCCCAAGGATCTCTTCGTTTTATTCATCACCTATATAGGCATCTTTACAGTGTCAAGATATTACGAACTTCGTCTGATACCGAAAGAGTGAAAGATACCAAAATCTAGCATAGAACTGTGGTTTTGCACTGACAATGACAGTTGTTCTGTGGTAAGAATATACAACATGTTTTTATCGTATTTTGTGCTGGACTTTAAATTCACCATTATCGATCATTCCAATGTAACTGAGGCGAGACTTGTCTTTTAGTCCGAAACATCTGCCTCTATTTTAGCCTCTGGTACAAATTTGATGGATATCGGTTGGAGTAAACACTAACCAACAATTTTCAAAATAGCTATCAGGCTGGAATAGAGACGGATGTCTCGATCTACATAATATGTTTGAGAAAGAATGGAAAATTTTCATTCAGGGATTTTCATATAAGTATAAATAAGTATATTATTGAAATATTTGGCAAGCCGTGTTGACTTTATAATCATTTCGTGAGTATATAATTATAGTATTTGTATAATTATATATTTCACAGTATCACTCTTGTCTGATACTTAAAATGGATTAGATTACTAGGCATATTACGATACTCTGATCTCGTGTTTAATCAACTATACCAATCCAACAGCACAGAGTCATTCAAATTAAACCAGTCAAACTACCAAGACTATCAACAACTAGACCTAGTTTGTGATATTAACATCCGCTGGAGGGATATATTAGATAAATATTCAAGTGAAAACTTTGATGGCAGTTAGAGACTTTTTATAACAAACAGTGACTTGTTATGACAAACAGCTACTCACCAAATAATAACTTAACGGGTAAGACATCCATATAACATTTAATTTAATGATCACAATATTATGGTTAAGTTTAAAGGACATATTCGCCAAGAAAAGACATATCGTCTTTTTATCTTTCTAACGCAGATAATTCTGGACACACATGGATTTAAAGGCTCAAATTTCGACTATGAACACTATAATTGATAAGCGTAGCTACAAACATCTACACTATGGTACTATTAGTTGCACGGATGGCGGGACTGTCCCTTTAATGTTGTCAAATGGTTAAAACAATACAACTGCATCCTGATATATAAATTGCCACATCTTCACGAGTCAAATTTATTGATTGGTTTGAAAACTACAATCGACTCCACAATTGCTTGTAAACACTCTAGAAGGCACAATTCTTCGTGGATTTTGACGAAACTTGCTATGAGTATTTGTAAAAGACTAAGGTATGATTGGTCAAAAAAAAAAATTGCGCATTAGTAGTATAAGAGTTTATAGATAGGGGGCACTTTTTATAATTAAAATTTTTTTTTATAAAAGTTCCCCCTATCTATAAACTCTTATACTACTCTTTTGCCTGCGGCGCCCGCAAGCCCACCAAACAAACAACCCCACCAGGCTCGCGGTTAATAAACCCGGAGGCTACAGGGGTCACCCCCTAAGCGCCCCAGGCCTATAATATCTTCAAATTAACTCATTTAAAAACAGAATTAGTTTAATTTTAAAACACGAACAACAGAAATTTGAAGGAGACGGTTTCTTCTCAGCTCTATCATCTCCCATCCCAAAAGTAGCCAAATTTGTCTCAAACAACAAATCCCTCATTTCCTCAGAGGTGCAAGCTGTTGGATCTGAGCAAATATAAGCTAAGCAGTGAAAAGATCTAACGAGTTGAAAGAATTACAACATATAATAGAAATGCGAAATAAAAGACTAGAAAACAAAAAAGGCAATGGTTTTAGAATTATTGGATAAAAATGTCAATGATAATTGCTCAAACTCCTAAAACTTATTTCGGTTCTGACATTCAAAAATCATTAGGTTCTCTTCCTGGATTTCCATGGGCAAAATACCCCGGAGAAAAAATCTTCCCGGTCTTAATTACACTGGTCCAGGTACAAGATTAGATCTACGATTAGACGAAAACGATAAACCCAAACCAGGAGAAGAACCCGTCAATAGAGTTGATGCCGCTGCACTTAAACATGATATATTATACAGAAACAAAGACATAACATCCAGACATGAAGCAGACAAACAAATGATAATCGAATGATATGTAAATAACAGATGAAATACACAAAGACTTTAGAAAAAACAAACATTTTTTAAAAGTCAAAGTGTTTGATGATGAAATATGGTCAGCAGATTTAATTCATATGCCAGTCTAAAGAGGATATAAATATTACTTAACAGTTATAGATTTGTACAAAGATATACTTGGGTTATTCTTCTCAAAAACAAAACAGGTTTATCAGTCAAACGCGCATTTCAAACAATAATGAAACAATCTGACAGACGACCTCAAAAGTTATGGGTAGATAAAGGAAGTGAATTTTATAATAAAATGTGAAATCACTTGGGTTTGAAATTTACAGCACACATAATGAAGGTAAAGCTGTAGTTATTAGAGATAGAGATATAATAGAACTCTTAAAAACAAATTATTGACGGAATTGAAATCCCAAAAATGGCTTAAAATATTACCAGAGGTTGTAGATGAATACAATAACAAAATTCATTCATCTATAGGTGTCACACCAACACAAGCCACAAATAATCCAAAAATTTACGCACAACATAACTACGAAAATAAAATAAATAATTTAAATATCAAACCCAAATTTAAAGTCGGAGATCGCGTTCGTATTTTCAAATATAAAAGCAAATTCGAAAAAGGCTACGTTGGATTTTGGACCCACGAAATATTTATCGTAGATAAAGATAGGTTTTACCCTATTATTTGAAGCCATTGGAAATGCAGGAAGAATAACAAAAAACCAAAGTAGTTTTAATAAATACAAGGAAATTTAAAACATAAACAATTACATGTATATTGATGTACACTTCTACTAGGATTGGTAATGTTCACCTCACGACCGCTCCTATAAAATCGCTAGATATACTTCATAGTTATCTCCCATCTTACACTATTGGCAGTCATAGTTCAAAAGTCAAAGGTCATGACCGCTCCTATAAAATCGCTAGATATACTTCAGAGTTATCTCCCCTCTTACACTATTACCAGTCATAGTTCAAGGGTCAGGGGTCATGGCCGCTCCTATAGAATTGCTAGATATACTTCAGGGTTATCTCCCCTCTTACACCATTGCCAGTCATAGTTCAAGGGTCAAGGTTCATGACCGCTCCTATAGAATCGCTAGATATAATCGCTATTATAAATCAATAACTGTGTATAAACTAGTTGTTATTTTACTCTGAAGTAAATAAAGAAAAAACGGTGTTACCTCCCATTAATCAGTTGAGATTTTTATCCAATAATTTTAAAACCATTGCCTTTTTTATTTTCTAATCTTTTATTTCGCATTTCTCATTAGATCTTTTCACTGCATTGCTTTTGCTACAGATCCAACAGCCTGCGCTTCTGAGGAAATGAGGGATTTGTTGTTTGAGACAAAGACAAACCGTCTCCTTCGA